AACTGGATGAGCGTTAAGGTCCCTTGCAACCCGAACCAGTCTGGGATTCTATGATCTTTCAACTATCACACAGCTTTAGCAGATACTTCTTTCAGTAGGGACTTATTCTTTACTGTCAGAGAAGACGGAAGCGTGTTTTCCTCGCAGTGGGCCATAGCCTTCTGGAATGCATTGCAGAAGATGCCGAAACGAGGAAACAGACAGCTTTAATGTCCCCTGTACTCTAGTTCTGCCTTGTAACCCCTCTTAGTTTGAGAACTGTTTATCTAGGATTTTGTGGGGTTTTGATTTTTTTGTTTTGGTTTTTGTTTTTTTTTAGTTCAGGTGGGTCATGGTCTAAGGACTTATAGAATCATAAAATAGTTTGGGTTGGAAAGGACCTTAAGATCATCTAGTTCCAACTCCCCTGCCATGAGCAGGGACACCTTCCACTAGAGCAGGTTGCTCCAAGGCTCTGTCCAACCTGGCCTTGAACACTGCCAGGGATGGAGCATTCACAACTTCCTTGGGCAACCCATTCCAGTGCCTCAGCACCCTCACAGTGAAGAACTTCTTCCTTATATCTAATCTAAACTTCCCTTGTTTAAGTTCGAACCTGTTACCCCTTGTCCTGTCACTACAGTCCCTAATGAAGAGTCCCTCCCCAGCATCCTTGTAGGCCCCCTTCAGATACTGGAAGGCTGCTATGAGGTCTCCATGCAGCCTTCTCTTCTCCAGGCTGAACAGCCCCAACTTTCTCAGCCTCTCTTCATATGGGAGGTGCTCCAGCCCTCTTATCACCCTCGTGGCCCTCCTCTGGACTTGCTCCAGCAGCTCCACGTCCTTCTTATTTTGAGGACACCAGAACTGTACAAAGTACTCCAAGTGAGGTTCCACGAGAGCAGAGTAGAGGGGCAGGATCACCTTATTTGACCTGCTGGTCATGGATCTGTTGATACTGTTGATACTATGAAAAAAACCTAAAAAAATCCAGAAATCACTGTACCCATTCGTCCTACTTCAGAGAAGTTGTTTTGATGGCTTCACTCAATTGAACATACTCAGAAGCAGCAGCAGCTCTGGCTGCTGGAAGCCTAAGGACATAGTTCCTTCAATAGACAATACTCTTCCTCACCCATTTTGATTTTGTCAGTCCCTTCCCCATGCCACTTCAAAGAGGCTGCTCCTCCAGTGCCCTGCTTAGAGCACCATGACATGCGTCAGTCTACCCAAAAGGTGGTTGCTGATAATGCAAATTAATTTGATTGCTCAGGTGTTTAAGTGACTGAAATAGCAAATTCTAGCACGGACTGTTGCTAGTAAGCAGCCAGGTTGGGGCTTTGTGTTGAGGGAGCTGGCAAGCTTTCTGTTTGTACGTTGCCACCTCACTAGTTTTACATTTGCTCATATACACAAAAAGCTGTTCATGCCCTGCAGCCAAACTGCATTCACTCTGCTTTCCCAAGCCTGCCTGAAGCCATGAAATCATGAATAACATAAGGGGGAAGAAAAAAAGTAAAGAAAAGAAGAACAAGGCATGTGGCTTGTATGATTATCTTTCCATTTACCTGCCAAATGCCCAAGTTCTAATACGCAGACAATCCTTAGCTAAATCATTTCTGAAGCTCATTCACATGTTTCTTTGCTACCTGTACCTGGATCCTCCTTTTTTAGGTAGCACATACACAACAAAGAGCAATTTTACAATGTCCTGTGGTTGTTCTGCTGGCACAAATGTTTTACTTACTTGTTGCCACGTTAACCTCAGCCGTTCGAATTGCTCCTTCCCATCTTCTGAGCAATCGGAGCAAGTGAATCTGAAAAAGTTATCTCCTTTGAGGTAGCTGAGCTGTTCTCTCAGTTGACCTAAAATGAATAGGCAAAAAAATCAGTTTCTCAGTCCTTTTATAGGAAGAAGTGCTGCAAAGGAGATTTGGATTCCCTGCATCATGCAGAAAGGACTTTTTGCATCCAGAGACCCAGACAGTTCCCAGGAAGCATCAGAACTCACTGTGATGGAAAGCTGGATTCATTTTACAGCCACAGCAGCGACCAACTGAAAAAACACAGGCATCAAAAAAGGGGCATTCTACTTAACATCTGAATGCAGGTACAAAGCCAAGGACCTCCTTGTTTCCGCTGCACTTCTCTTTCTTGCTTCCCTGGGATAACCTAGATATGCCATCCCTGGAGACATTCAAGGCCAGGCTGGATGTAGTTCTGAGCAACTTGATCTAGTTGAAGATGTCCCTGCTCATTGCAGGGGGGTGGACTAGATGAGCTTTGAATGTCCCTTCCAACACCAATTATTCTGTGATTCTATACACTTCAGTAAGTAACTGTTTCCCACTCTACTTCAGAAAAGCTGACCTGTTAAAAAAAAACAGTATGTGACTGCAAAGGCCACCAGACTATAGAAGCATTCTCTTCCATGTCATCTTTCCACTCACTGCTGCACATCTTTACGCCTCTCTCAGACTGAGAGCCAAAAGAACAGCCAGCGTTACCAGGAAACATTTTCTCTTTATTGCAGTTGATCCATAAGATCCCCAATCAGCAGAGAACTTAAGCACATGCCTTGCTGTGTAAAGCTAACCCTAAGCCACCTCTAAAACCCCACACACCCCAAGGTACAGGCATTAATTCTGTGTTTCTGCAGTAAAGAAACAAAGCACCATCCGAATCAGGACTTTCTTTAACAGGATGACAACTCCTTTACTGTACAACAGCAGGTGTAATACACGGATGCTCTGCTTTCACAGTGAGTTGCAGAACCTGACAATTTAAGTTGCACCCATGTCTGTTGGGGGGAAAAGCCCACACTGAGCAGATTAACAAAATTTCCACACGGCAACTCAGTGTGAAAGTGACCATTTGTCTGAGCATGGTGGTGATGTTCACAACTGACACCTGAACAATCAGCAAAGAGAACAGTATTTCCCTTCTCCAGCTCACTTACCTGGCACGTTTGTATCTAGTTACCCCTGCTCTGTGATTGGCTTTTTCTGCTCTTTGGATTTGTTCCACAGCAACAAGACAGAGGAACATCTTTGTAAAATAAGCCAAGTGTTAGATCAAGTGCTGCAATGCCACTTTTAACACTCCTTTTTTTTTTCTTTCATTAATACATTTCAAGTTAATGTCTCCCTTCAACCGCATACTACCTTAATAGCATGATGCTAATTCCATTACATTAACATCAAACATTCACTAACACCCCTAGAGAGGAGACTTCTACAACCGTGACTGGTGGCAAACTCTAAGGTGACAAAAAGGGCAACCCTGACATAACTGCAAGGCAGGTACCAACTGAAGAATTTGCTATTTCTAGCCACTAACAAGCCAACCAACAACCAAAAAATAATAAAAACAACCCCAAAACACCATAAAACCCAACCAGCACTTACCAATATCCAGCTTTTGGATCTAATAATAGACCTGATAATCCAGAATTTAGAAAGTAAAGTCAAGTCTGTCACGTTCCTATTTTCTAACAGCATGTATCCTATGTCAAGCAGCAGTAGCAGAGGAATCAAGTTCTGCAGTTTGCTCCAAACGCCTCCCAAAGTGACCTGCTACAGGCTGGACATACTTCTGTGAAAGCTAACTTAAATTCACAATACCAAGAAACCATTAAGGTTGAGATTTAGCCATATGCTCCACAGATGTGACAAACTGACCAGAAAACAACACACACAAACAACAACTAACCCCATCCCAAAGCCCTTTTAAAGTTCTTTTCCTCCACAGAGCTTCACAGCAAGGGTCATTATCTGAGTAAGCAGAGGCCAAATTGCTGGGCTGAAGTTCCCTAAGCATGCCAGTGGCAAGCCTTTGGAGGGTGTGCATGTTTCTGAAGTCCTACTCTTGTTCTCTACTAATAAAAGACAGTACCATTTCTTTATGGGGAATGCCAGCTTCAGACATCCATGCAGTTCATTGACTGAAGTGCCCAACACACACTGCTTGCTGGCATCAGGCTGGAAGGGCTGCAGACAATGCCAAGAAAGCCTTTCTCATAGAATAAGAGCTTTCTTGTGGGTACCGTTAGGCCCTGGAAGCTGCTCTAAGGTCTCCCCTTAAGGAGCCTTCTCTCCTCCAGGCTGAACCAGCCCAGCTCTCTCAGCCTGTCTCCAGAGCAGAGCTGCTCCAGCCCTCGGAGCATGTACATGGCCTCCTCTGGACTTGCTCCAACAGCTCCACGTCTCTCTTGTGTTGCTGCCCCCAGAGCTGGACACTGCAGGGGGGGTGTCACCAGAGTGGAGCAGAGGGGGAGAATCCCCTCCCTCAACCTGCTGCTCATGCTCTGGGGACACAGTCCAGGACACGGTTGCTTTCTGGGCTGCAAGTGCACACTGCAGAACACTGTTCTCCTCCAACGTCAGACGGCATACAGCTAAACAAGGGCTGCCCCATAAAACAGGTATGCAGGACATTGTGCGAACAACCATCACAGCAATGCAAGCAAGACACGACACAACAGAACAGGCAAGCTTACTTGCTGGTATCCACTTCTGGCACTTCTCACAGTAATAGGACATCTCCTCCATCCAGGACGTGTCGCCTTCGTCGCTGTTCAGAGAATCCCCGCTCTGGTCGTGTGATAAATCCACTGAAGCCTGGTCCTCAGACTCAACAATCAGGAGGGTCTCCCCTTCCACCTCACCCTCTTCAAGGCCCTCTGAGGTGGAGGTCCTGGTGGCTTCATCATCGTGGCGGCTCAGCAGCCCGCTCATGTGAACGTTATTAGCCATCCTAGACGGCATTTGTGGGGAGGAATAACTTCTTGTTATGCATTGACAAGTACACCCACACTGGATGTGCCAGCAAAGCCTCCACAGTCAAAGTGCCAATGACAAAGGAAATGGTCTGTGACCACACTATAAATTTTTGATTGGAATATAATCTATACAAAAGAAACAGCCTTCAACAGATCACCTCTGCTGAAACACTTGCAAGTACTTATATAGCAATGATCGCCAAACATCTTTAATCAAACCTCTAACAACTCAGGGCTGTGCCTATGACTGCTGGGACCCTTTTTCCATCAGTGCCTTGTCTCTTTCTTCCATAAGCTGCTTTGTCAAAGCAATCTGCTCTTCTAGGAGGCGAATATTCTCCTTTTTCTGATGTTGACGCTCAAGATCTTGGAGAACTCCACGGTGCAGCCTCTGAAAACATAAGGGACAGGGTTTATCACAGCCTGCTGGATGCTGAATGTGGCTAACCACCACCAGGCTCTAACTCCTCTCACAGGGCTGTCCACCATGCTATGCTGCCTTTGCAAGTCCTCTGCCACCACCTGTAAGCCACAGCCAGTTAATGGGGTTTGAATCTAAAACTACAGGAGCTGATAACCCAATACCGATATGCTAATAGTACTACACCAAAAAGTGCTTTATTTGTCCTCACTTCAGATGGGTGGGTATACTGAGTGTTAAAGCAAATAAATGCTGTGCACCTGTAATTCCCATGCCATGAAGAATATACATGATCTATAAATCATGTTACCTCTGCCTCAGATCAAACTAATCCATCCCCCCCAAACTTATCCTTTGCTTGGAGACAATTTGATGGCAAAGTGGAAGTGATTTTAAGAAACACTGCCATGTGTCTTATCTGCTTCTTCCTGCTCATGTCTCAGTCTTAACAAAATACCTTGTAAACTCCTGCTGCACAGCTGATAGAAGTCCCACAATTTGCTCATGCCAAGCTCTTGAAAGAGCAAACCACCACAGTAAAAAATAATCCTCTTTACCCAAAGCATTCACCAAAAATAACCTGTGCAACACAGACCACCAGTTCTCAAACCAGTGCATAAGGGCCCCAATGCGCATTGAAAGCCCTAAGAAAATCCCAGATGCTCTTTGTTTCCTCCACAGGGTGCCCAGAGAAGCTGTGGCTGCCCCATCCCTGGCAGTGTTCAAGGCCAGGTTGGACACAGGGGCTTGGAGCAACCTGCTCTAGTGGAAGGTGTCCCTGCCCGTGGCAGGGGGTTGGAACTGGGTGAGCTTCAAGACCCCTTCTAAATCAATCTGTGGCTCTACGAAGCCACCTCCACCAAGCCCATCAGCCCCACCCTGGAGCTTCCAACCTGCCAACGGACCAGTTGCAGCGACGCGAGAGCGCGGGAAGGGCAGATGCCACGGCAGGAAATGGCGGGAAGGGGCAGTTCGTGGCGAGCGAAACGCCGGGGTCAGCTCCGGCCCGGACCCGCGCTGAGCTGGGGTCCCGGCCGCGCTAAGGGG